ACTGTTTCCCCTTGTCCTGTCTCCACAATAATATTGGCTCTCTTAGAGGTACAGATAAAATTTCCATGTTCAGGTTTCAGGCAACAGTGCAGATGCTGTATTTTGTGTTAATTATTTGTTAGTAAACATTTATACACAGTGTCTGAACTCCTAATTGAAAAATAATTGTTTCCCGATTTTTTATTTTATTTTTGAGACTGTCAGCACAAAGAGTGCATCCAGCCTGGCCTTGAGCATCTCCAGGAATGGGACACCCACACTTCTCTGGACAGCCTATGTCAGGGCCTCACTGCCCTCTGTGCAAAGAATTTCCTCCTCACATCTAGCTTAAGACTCCCCACTTTAGGTCTATAACCATTTCCTCTTGTTCTATCACTATAAGATCATGTTGAAATACCACCAACTGAAATTTGCATAATAGACGTAGATAATCAAGGAATCTAACTCTCCTCATCTTAGTATCATCATGCACAGCAAAAGATTTAAGTTTCTTCACTTGAAAAAAGTTTCTTTACTCATGTTGCATAGTTGCCAAGAACAGCTGGAAAGTTAGTCAGATACCTACCCGATCCACTTGCACTGCAGATGCACAAATACTGCTGCACGGTTAGATATGAACTTCTCAATATTACAGCATATCCATTTGTGCACTCTGTTCTTTATAGGAAGTGGTGGTTCAGCCTGCTAACCTGAGAATTTCCCTGCTTACACGAGAGATTCAAACTGAGAGTGAGAGAATAATAGACCTTGACATTGGTCTTGACTAAGGGTATCAGTAATCTCAGGGGCAGCAGGACACAACCCCAATCCTATGCGAGCATGTGCATGCAGGAGTGAGCAAGCTGGAGAGCAGTGCTAGAGGAGGAGAGCTTTTGTCACCAACTCAGCAAAAGCTGCATTTTACCAAAGTCTGGGGCTCTCAAGAACACTTAAAAGCAGCCCTTGGTCTCTTGTGCAGTTCTCCTTGCCCACTTTTCCCCTTTAGGTCCAGTTGAGACAGCAGAACATAAGACCTCTTACACACAGTCTGCTTCAGGATCCTGTTTCATGAACTTGTGACTCCAGGAAGCCGCTCACTGCCTTCTTCAATGCACAGGAAGGCCCAAGCAAGTGACTTTTAATGTTCCCAGCCTAAGACCATCTCCTCTTTGCAGTCACATAATGCTATGATGTGATGGAAAGTACAGCAATAATAGCAGGGTAGCAAAATCCTAGACTGCAGCAAATGAAAAAAAGCCCAAATGCAGCAGCTGTGAATGCAGACACAAAGGAAGAAAACTTTACTTACATTTGGAAGGCCTCAGGTATGCAGGGATCTCCAGCAGGATACCCTCACCTCCACTGCCAGCCCTTAAGTGAGGTCTGCATTTGCATGCACCTGAGCTCCCACCAGGTGCTCAATCACTGTTTCAAGACACAACTTAGCACCTCCTCTACAACTCACAGACCATTTAATAGGGCCATGTGGGAAAGGGAACACAGTTATTCCGCCAGTCATCTATCACAAGTAGGAGTTATCTGTCCTGAAGCAGTAGCCAGTAAATAAGCTATGTGTCAACCCTCAGGCAGCCCTGCCTCTGATGTTGTCAGTTTGGGTTGTAGTGCATTCAGCTGCGGGCCAGTACAGGCTGTAACTGAGCTGGATTAAGAAGTTTCCACCCCTCCTGTCATTTCTACAGATAATTCTCATGGGAATCACCAGTTACTCAGCCACTAGACTGTATTAGCAAGCTGCATCTACACTAACTTTTTAGTTCAGATCAGGAGTTGGTTTTTGAAGTGGATTTCCTGTTCACTGCACTTCATTTCCTGTCGTGCTGTAGCCTCATAATTGGTGGACTAAATTCTGTTTGGATGAAAATAGGCCAGAAGATGTGCTCCAAGAATATACCTAATGAGCTCCAGCAATAATTTGGTTAACAAGAATAGAGCATCTCCACTATAGGCTCCCTCTGAAACACATTTTATGTCAATGTTAGATATTTAACAGCAGCTGTTTTGTTTTCCAGATCTGCCTCTATTACACCACACTACTTAATGTAAACACACTTACCTGTCAAAGTAATCCAGGCTTGCCTGTGTGTCTATTGAACCTTTTTAAGCATTTTTACTAGGAAAGATTTTAAACTATGTCAGAGCTGGTAGAACTAAACTGGGGAGCAAGGAGAAATGCAGATTTACTGTGGGGACAGTAAAGCCAAAAGCAGTCTCCAATGCAGACAGAATCGTGACCTCAGCCTCAGGAAACCCAGAGCACATCTGGGGGCCAGGCTGGCCAACGCTACACAGATCATCAAACTGTAGTTCTGGAGTTAGCTCTTAAACTTTCCTCCCCTCTGCAAAATGCCATGGCCTCATCCATGGACTCAGTCTTCACTGACGGAAGTCAAACTCATCCTTGAATGTGTGTGCTTCCCCAGAGATCTTAACCACAAGTTAGCACTCACACACAGAATTGCTGGCATTGCTGCTTATAAATCTAACTTCTCCCTACTATTCCAGGGCTCTTCATCGGCTCCATGATCCCGTTCACACAGAGCAGAGCAGGAGAGAACTCTCAGTTTCCACATGAGCATTAAGTCAGTACTCCCCATTGTACTGAAACTTCATCAAAAGTGATGCACTTCAGTCTTAGCAACAAAGAGGAGAGAGAAAATTGGCTCATGTTTCCAGCTAGTGACATATAATATGGAAGATGATCTCAGCACTGTTACAGACAAATCACCCTTTACCACTTCTTTCCGTGGCATCATTCATTTTTTCCTGAGATTTAGATCTATTTTTGGAGGTTATAAAAATACACAGGGAGTTGCCAGTCATTTTTATTCCAGTACAGGAACATTATATACAGAAGATACTTTTTTTTTCCAGGTGAGAACCAAACCCTGACAGAAGACAATGTTGTCTAGATAAGTATTACAGCTGCTTCTGTGCGAGGATGTGGAGCAGCCTCAAAACAAATAATTAATTGTAAAAAAAAAATCTAGAGCACCATTGTGCAGGAGATGCCTGGGGCTGGAGTATAATCTGAAGTGCTCATGATACTTCTTCCACCCAGCTCCCTTCAGTGAAGGGAGCTCTCCCCCACCTTGTTAACACTACAAGGTGTGATCTGAAGTCAGGATTACGATCTGAAGTCAGGATTACGTGACCGTGAGAGGCAGACACCCCCGGGCAATACCAATCCCCCCCACCACTCTGTACACAGGACTTTTTTATTCACATCTGAACACAATGGTATACCACACAGCACACAGAGCCTCTGTTTAACTCAGACTTGGCAGATAGCATAATTTGCATTTCCTAGGTTTTTACAAAGTACTCCCTTGCCATTCTATCTCTGTTCTTAAAATGCAGAGTGTTACTGTAGGTCACTAAAAACAGGGATAGGTGGCTAAATAGATTGATAGATATGTAGATAACAGATGGATAAATAGATGCATACGTGCATCAATGCATACATACATATATACAGTGTTCTTAGAAATTTTGTCCTAAAAGTGACTGCTATTCAGCAATAGACACAGAGAAGCAAGTACTCCACCCCAGTAATGCCTGTTCTGTTTCAAGAGGATTCTTCTATCTTCATAGGGACGACAAGCTGATATTTTCAGAACAGCCATAAAGTTTTTCCTTTGTCTCACTATTTTCTCTCACTCAACTAATTTCTGGTTTTTAAATTTCTTGTCCTGTTTCGCTTGTTTTTAAGAAAATTCCCTGAGTTAAAACTACAAAAAAGCCCTCAACATCAAAACCAGCCTTTCAAGCCTAAACATATTTTGAGACAATCTCCAAGCCTCGGTGATTTCTCCCTTCACGAACAGAAACATCCATACTCAGCAATCCTGGGGGCAGGGAGGATTTGTTCACTCCTGCAGATGTTTCTGTTCACTGCAGGGGAGTTGATGACCCTTAAGGGTTTCTTCCAACCCAACTGATTATATGAAGTTCGTACAGTGCTTTGAAAATACAGAAGTCTTCTATACCATTCTATTTTAAAAACCATACAGCCATCAGCATGCCAAAGTCCCTCTCAGTGAACGATTCCTTCTCAGCTAATTATTAAGTAGAAAAGATGGATCCTCAAGAGCACAGAAAATATCAGAAGTCCTCACTGAAGCCAGCAAGTTAGATGGTCTTCTGACACTCCCAGGGCTGAGACACAACATACCAAACTTTTGTTTGTGAATGGATCTTTGGGATTTCTGTGCTGAGAGAGAAGCAACAGGGCACGGGTCAAGCTGTATCTTCCCTGAATCACAGCACAAGGCTTCACTAACCTGTCAGCAAGCCTCCCTGGACTCACAGTGCTCCATCTTTTCAAGAGGGATTGTGCGGATAAACAGCATGCAGCAATTTCTTACAGCACCAATTACCAGCCGTATGAGTGGAGCCTCGTAGTTTAGGGTGCTAAAGTCTGTCTCTGCAGGGAAAAGCAAATTGCCTCGCACAGAACTCTAAGACTACCACAGAACCATATTTTAGTACTCCAAGTCATACTCTGACATTATGTGTTTCATAATCCATGAGGTTTGGCTTCTTAATCATTTTGTCATTTACTCATTGGCTTTTTCATCTCCCTATGAGATGTGAATCAACATTACAGAGATAAAAAGACATCTGGTTAAGATTTTTGCATTTGATAAAAGCAGCAAAAAAAAAAAGTAACTTACCTCCGACTCTCCAAGTCATTACTCAGAAGTTTTCCATTGTGTTCTCTAGGAGTTGAGTAATGACACAGCAGTAATGTGTTGTGTTGATCCTCCTCCACTGTGACATCTTTCTGCCTTCTGCTTGAGTTGATACACAAAAAGCTAGGAAACATGATAGGTCTTTTTTTGCTTTTGGCAGCTGTAATGATAGGGTTTCCCTCATCTCACACCCATACTGCATGTTTCCTCAGGATTCACACCAGCAAGGTTAAAACTGCACAGCAGAGCCATTTTTCCCTTGTTTGTTTATGAAAAGAAAAAAAAAAAAACAATAAGGAGAGCAGCAAACACAACCTATTAGCCTTTTATTTGTCTACTGGCATCCACAGAATCACAATTGGAAGGGACCTCAAGAGATCTATTCCAACATCCTCTGCTAAAGCAGTTCGTATTTGCTGTAGATTATTCCTCAAGGAGAGCTGCTGACAACACCAGCATAAGCACAGTGGGAGAAAACAACAGAGGATTAGCCATGCACCCAGATGAGATTTACAGAGTTGCCTGCTTTGATTGCTAATGCATGGAAGAACTGTGTATTACAGAAGTAAATAACCTCCTTTCACCTCCATACCTGCAGGAAGCTTTCTTGTTTCCTCTTGTAGAATCATGAGAAGGGAAAACAGGATTACAAAGGGCTTCAAGATGTCAGCCAGCATTAACACATCTCTATTTTGTGAGCACCCAGTGGGCTGCAGAACATTAGATATGTAGACATTGCTTCACAAAAGACCAGACAAAATACAAGTAATAAATGAAGATTCACATTTGAGCCAAAATGGTACTTTGCTTTTGACAGGAAAAAAGATGTGGCAGCATAGCAGGGAAGGATAAAGGATTCTCTAATCCTCAGATGAAAAGAATTGAGAAAAAACTAAATCAAATCAATTTCTCCACACAGAACAGAATTAGATTGCAGTGAATACACAACATGAAGAGCAGCATTGTATAAGCAAGTCATTCTAGTGCTGTGGGAAGAGGGGATACACTGACATGGCATGATCTTTTTCTTGCATGAGAAGGGATCAATATCCTAGAAATACACAACATGGCATCTTAGATGAATATTCACACCAGAGACTTATCAGCTATCCATAAATACCAAACTGAAAAATTTGTCATCAGGTACTCATCCCTGCTGCTGGCTGCTCTGCTATTTGGCAGGCAACATCTTTTTACACATCTCAGCAAAAATCCCAAAGCCAGAATAATTGCACACTAGATCTGGTAAATTTAGTGCTCAGAAGCAGCTCCTCTCCTTACCTCCACTGCCAAAAACACACGATAACTTCCACCCTCAGATGAGATACAGAATAGTAGAAATAAATTCAGGGCCTTAAAACTCCCCAGCCATCCCAACGAAATACAAGTAATTTGCTTTCCTGGTACCTTACTTCAAGGTTCCTAGATCTTGATTTCAGTGGATGCAGAGTTCTGCCACAGCTGTGCATAAACTTAAATTCCCAGCACTGCAAATGGGCGGCACTGGCAACGAAGAGTAAACTACTTAATGAGTGATAATCATCTTATATAAATAGCTTTGAAAGGGACTCAGCATGGCAAAGAACTGAATGGCTTGGTCCTCCTACCCAAAAATAGCAGAAATGGGACAACTCCCTTCTGTATTCCAGTAAATCCAAGGTAGAGTAATAATAGCAAAATTTACACGTGGCTGTTACATTTGTCCAGTAAACTGCAAGACCATTCTGTTTATTTTAATGTCAAATCCCAAGCATGTTTTATTCATTAGACTTTTATCATTTTTCTCTTGACTAACTTTCTTCAGACTTTTAAAATCTACTTTGTGGTAAAACAAATCTAATTTGCTGACAGTGTTTAGATGTATGGGATTAGTATAAAATCGTATGAAGAGAACAAGTTCTGTTTTAAAAGGTAGTATTTCATTCAATATCAGTGCCTCAGTTTGTCTACATATCAAGTGAAAATAGTAATTTCCCCTGTTTTGGGAATAAAATGTTTTCCTGTATTCATGTTTGCAAAGCATTTGGAAGATGTGATGGTATGAATCCAAATGATTACAGTTACAGTACCATACTTCTGAAGTTTATTACCCTGATTATGAAGAGAAAAACCGCAGATATCCAACTGAGGTCTGCCCAAATGGTTGGCCACAAGCTGAAGGGTGCGGTGTGTATTCGGCCAACTTCTATCCCTCACAGAAAAGCTATGAGAACCCATTTCTGTGAACCTGAATCTATTCTTGCTTAGAGTGGTACAGACAAAACAGTGAATCAGGATTAACTGTAACTGAGACACAAATCTGACCGATTGAGTCAAATTCCAGGACAGTTCATGTATCCGGGCTCAGAATAGCTCGGCTCTTCATTTTCCAGACAAATGTCTTCTGATGTAGTACACAGGAAAGGAGGAAGAACATTTCACTGGCAGTCTCTGCTATGTTTGGGACTAGCCACACTTTTCAGAATTATCAATTTAATTCCATATTGGACCGTTCTATATTATCTACAGCTTTTTGACTTAATTACTCTGTTCGCAGAGTGGAAGTAGAAGCAAGTACCATAAGAAGTGGATGTCTGGAACAAATAGCTGGCATGATTAGGGGAGAGCTTACCTCTGCTTGTCCTCTGCTAAGAGCATTTCTTACATTTCCGCTCTACTTTAAAGCAAGCCCAGTTCCAGGCATCAATGCATCATGAGGCATAAAAGGTTCCTCTTTAGGAAAAGTAAAAGCAGTTTTTCCTGTTTGTGAAATCCCCAAGTCGTCAAGAACAAGAAAACTTTCAAAACTCTATCTTTGCTGCTCACAGAGCTTCACTGCCTTATAGGGTCTGAATCTCCTGGAATCACTCTGGGGGCGGGCTGGGAATGCTGACTTTTCCTCCTTCTGGGTGATTCTGGGAGGTCTGCAAGTGATGTCATGGTACATTTTAGGCTACAAAAACAGGAAATCATCAAGTGTTTATACTGGCAAACTGGGCTGTGATGTGATTTTCCTCTTGTTTCCCCCTCCCTGCTTCACCCTTACCATTGACTTCCTTGGTATATCTGCTTCCTCTGATTAAAATACTACAAGGTGACAACACTGAAGGAGGAAAAAGGCAAGCGGGGGGAGATATAAAGGCATATTTTGAAGGAATGTCTCTCCCAGTATCACTCACAAATAGCGTATCCTCAGCCCCCACTCCCTGCTGCACACATGGTGTGTTAGTACAGCTGCCCAGGCAGAAATCAGAAACTTAGCCTGATGAGGCACTAGGATATACTCCTCCAGGCTGCAGATATGAAGAATCACCTCTCCTCTCCCCAGCAGATGTGAATCACAGAACAGATCTCAGAAAAGCTTAGCTTCTGAATTTCTCTGGCTGCAGAAACTGTGCCACACAGACAGGATTGAAAGTATATTGAACAGGCTGATGGACTCCAAGGAAAAGGAGGCCACGCTTCCAGGTTTGGGTCAGAGGAAGGATGCAACTTACCTATGCCCAGAGTCCATTCCACAGTGTGACACCCACACTGAGTCTCAGTAAAAGGTCCTTGGGAGTGCTTGGTTTGGGCAGAATTTACATTATTGCTTGGACCAGGGATGTACAGCACAAATCTTAGATATTCTGTCCTTGCCAGCTTGCTAAAGCTGGTTGAAAAGCTAGGAATTTACAAGGAAGTTCTCTGAACACTAGGATTCTCTATAACGAAAACCAGTATCACTGCTAGGCTTACCAGCTTTTGAGCAGCTTGTGTTTCCCTGAAGGATATAACATGAATGTATTCTTCTGGCTCATTGCCACTGCACCGAACTAGCAGAGCTCTAAAAGCAGTTCTGAGCTGTGGGACACCAAGGAGACGCTCAGGGTGGCCACCTCTAGAGTGTGTACCAGGATGATTGGAGCTGAAGGAGGATATACAAAGAGATACAGGAGATTGGTCATTTACAGCAATGCGAAAGAAATTGTGAGGTGAAAAAGGCAGCAAATATTAGAGAAGTTCACTGAAGAGGAAGAAGCATAAAAGGTATACCTCAATATAAGCTGGAGTATCCTTTCTATACTCTCTGACAAGATTAATCATCATATGCCTTGGGTTGAAAGGAACCTCAAAGGTCATTTAGTGTCAGATCAAGCACTCGATCAGATTGCCCAGAGCCCCATCCAACCTGGCCTTGATCACCTCCAGAGATGTGGCACCCACAGCCTCCGTAGGCAGCCTGTTCCAGCACCTCACCACCCTCAAAGTGAAAAACTTTTCCCTGATATCTAATACAACTTTTCTCCTCCTTCATTTTAAAATCATTGTCCCTTGCCTTATCACAATCTTTTATACTACCACGCAAAAAGTTTCCCTCCTGTTTGCAATCTCATCTTAAATACCGGAAGCCTGCAATGAAGTCTCCTCAGAACCTTCTCCCCTCCAAGTGAACAACCCTAACTCCCTCAGCTGTCTTCATAGGAGAGGGGCTCCCAGCCCTCTGAGCATCTTTACAGCCCTCCAGAGGACCTCCTCTGGACCCTCTCCAAAAGCTCCACATCTTTCCTGTGCTGGGGGCCTCAGACTTTATTGCAGTACTCTGCGTGGTGCCTCACAAGAGCAAAGAAGAGGGGGGGGGCAATCCCCTCCCTCACCCTGCTGTCACCTCTCTATTGCCACAGTCCAGGTTACTGTTGGCCTTCCAGGCTGCAGAAGCACATTACTGGCTCATGTTAAGTCTTTCCTCTACCAGTACCCCCCCCCAAGTCCTTCTCAGCAGGACTACTTTCAAGTTCTTCTCCCAGTCTATATACATATCTGAAATACCTTACGAAACTGAAAAGGCAATCCACAATAAAGATTTGTTTATTTTTAGCACACAATGCATTTAGCCTGCAATAGGATATCACTGAGCATGCAGAATTTGTGCTGATTCAGAAGAGGACTGGATTCTTTACTGATAACAGGTCTGTGGTGTTTTTAACAAAGAGAAACAAAGACTAGAGCAGCAGAGCACACAAATTTCTAACCAGTCTTTTAGTAGACTGTATGCACTCACTCTGCTCCAAGGAAGTGGCACAGGAACCCTGTCTCTTATTTCTTCTTCTTGTCTCTCAGTTTTCCATGACACAAGAATTTAATGGCTCAAACTATGTGAAGATTCTGATATGAGCCTTACATTTAGCCACTCTTGCAGATAAATATCTTCTCTGACATCTTCAGCAGCTGTCACAGATTTACAGAATTGCTTTTTGCTCTAAATTCTTTATTTTCTGTGTATGCCTTTTTAGTGTGTTGGCTGTGAATTCCTATGTCTACAGCCACAAAGCAGCAGAAAGGACATCCTCTGACCCCACATAAGCGTCCTCTCTATGAAACCCTTCAGTAGATCATAACCATTTACTTCTTAGAAACAGGCCTAAGTAAGGAGACAATTGCTTCCTTTGAAAATAGAACGTTGTGTTCAGAATGAAGAGTGCATAACACCAGAATGAGAGACATCCATCTCCCAGTCACTGTCCTGTGGTAGGATTTGCTGTGTAACATGAATTGTCCTAAGTCCAAATGGTATTTCTTTGGAGCGCTCTGGATCATAAGTGGTATATCTGTTTATCCCTACTGAGACTCTAAGTGGTTAGCCAGGCCTCAAGCATAGCCAGTAGAAATGAAGACAGAAAATGAACAGCTTACACAGCTTACCTGAGGCCACAGTTGTCCCAGCTGATAGAAGTCATGGAATCTTAGCAGGTGCAACAGTGTTCTTTCTCCTTCCTCAGCACTTGCCCTCTCCTTGTGTCTCATTACATAAGAACTAGATGAACAAAGCAGGAAGGGAAAAAGAGGAAAAGGTAGAGCAAATAATTTCATTTCTATCATCTTTCTCTCCATTCATACAACATCAGCAACACAGGTAGCTTTGAATAAGGCCAAGAAATCTCCCAAATGGAAAAGCACGGAGGCTGAGACAGCCACCCAGCAAAATCAGCCTAGATTATAGCATCTGTCTTAGAGCACCATGGCTGTGTTTTGTGCGTTTCAAAATTGTAGATCATTGATCAAAAAACTCAAAAGCAGATAGACAGGAACGTATTTAGAAAAAAAAATACAGTCAGAGGCATCCACATTTTGTTACTATGTTGCCACCATATTTGCAATTGAAAGAAGTCAGTGGAGGGAACAGGCACCACGAAAAAGTGACTTCACCATTTTAATTTTCTCAAATACCTATCTTTGCGCAGAAGTGGGATGATGCAAACAATAGTAAAGCTGCCCAAATTCAGGATGTCTGGGACCTGAATCTAATGGCAGTGTCCCGGTTTTGACAGCTAGGTGAGTTTCATAGAGGTCAGCGAAACCAGCCTCTCCTCACTGCTGGAGTTGAATTAGTCCTCCATTTATTCAATATGCTCAGGAGGTCTATGGCTTGTACTTGTACCTGGTTCAAGGTGAAGAAACATAACTGAAGGTATTACACTTTGAAAACAATACGATAAGAAATTGCTTCCTGTTTGTATTCAAAGTGATCCAGCTAACTTTGTGACAATGGGCCAGGCACAAAACAGGACCATCTACCTTGGCAACTGATCCATCCTTTAGAAATTTCTCTTTGCTTTGTGGCACAGCTGAAGAATACTCTATGGATTAGGGCAGCCCTAAAGACTTCTGAGTCTCCTGCATGACAGTCACAAGTTGCCTTCTT